ACAAATATTCCCAATCGAATCCAATTTGCCCTTGTGCTACGAACCCAAACCAGGAAAAAAGAAGCCGGACGAAAATAAAAAGATAAAGATGTGTTACGAAGTGAAATGTCCGAATTGCGGCAAAGGAAGCTGGGAGGGCTGCGGCCGCCACGTTCCGGCGGTGTACAAACGAATTCCCCAAGGTCAACACTGCCAGTGCAAGGCCTGGCCCGGCGTCAATCCCGCCGGCGACACCTCAGCCGCCGCCGCTGCCGCTGATCCTAAGGTCTCATCCAACTGTACTATCCTCTGATGAAGAATTACTTTCTTGTTTTTTTTTTGCTGGGATCGATCTTGCAAGGTTTGTACGGAAACGTGGAAAGTCCAAGGATCATTGTACTTCAAATTACGCCCTTTTTGTTTCCGATTTTATCCTAAATAAAGAACTTTGGCTGTTGTTGTATGACTGTTTTCTAGATCAATTTCATTCCATATTTTTTTGTAGTCCTTGTGAAAATAATTATTGAGGGCTCATCTGAAAAAGTAACAGATGGATGTGACATTCGAATAACAGGTTGCAGTAGTTGATGAAGGAAAGGTGGAAACTGCTAAGGAACTGGTTTGAGGATAAGGTGTTCGACAAAATGCCCCTCAGAAAATGTTGTTTCGAATCATTTTCATATTTCTGTTTAAATATTTTGACAAGAATTTTATGACAAATATGCATCGGAATTACCTTCAATGATAATTCCGATGTATTCTATTATTCTTATTAGGGTTGGGACTGGATTGGTTTTTATCCACCAACCGATCCATTACCGACCATATTTTTAGGCGGATAATCAATTTTTAACCGACCCATAGGATCGGGTCGAAAATTTCAACCAACCCGTCTATAATGGGTCGGTTGATGGTTTCTAATATTATCAAAAGTTGGTTGACCGATAATTATCGGTTATCCAACTATACTAATAAAATTTTATTAAAATAGAAAACAAATGCCGTGTTTTCGTAAGTGGTTACTGAAATTATCAAAATAATTAGTATTTTAAATTTTAAAACAATCGAAAAAAAGATTATCATAAATCTTCAACCAGTTTCTTTATGCCTAAGCTTCAACAAAAGGCCCACAAAACTCCACTAAATCTCTTGTGCATGTTTGAAATTACTTTGAATTTCCTAATTTTATTTTTTCGTTAAATTGTTATTAATTATTTTGAACTGATAAATGATGATCGCACCGTGGCATTACGCAAAATGTGGATATTTTTACTCCAAAAATTGATTTTTTTTAAGTGAACTAGGCGGCGGATGTAAACCATCAACCGATCCATTTCGGAACCAAATATTCGGTTGCCAACCATCAACCGACCCACAAAGGTTGGATCGGCAATGGTTTTCAAATTTGAGCAAAAATGGTTTGACGGATGGGTCGGTTTTTAGGTTGGTAATCGACCGACCCAACCCAGTCCCAGCCCTAATTCTTATATGTTGTTTTAAAATTGGTTGTCCATATCTTTAATTTGACACACGTATAGTGTTATGCAACACTACTTCTCCATGTATACTCCAACAACATTGTTTATAATTTTAACAACCATTATATTTTAATATTTTTTCATATTTTAATTTTGGATTTTCTGTAAATTTGAAGATTAAAAGGATTGGGTTGTTATGTTTTTTATTTTTGCACAATTGGTTAAATTTTAACTTTGGTTTTCCAAATATGAGAAACCAAAGTTAGGCTTTGTTAAATTTTCCATTTTTCCATAATGTTGTTGGAGCTCTGTTTTTTCCTCGAATTGTGTAAAAAGTGCAAATAATTGGATTGCACTGTACTGTTGGTGATGCAGAACGGAAGCACGGTAACAAATTAATTTCTATGAATTAATCCTATAGAACATAATAATATTGGGAATCCACCAGAAAATAGAGTAAACGCTAAAGATTTTTATTAAAATTCAAAATTCTTCTGAAAATAAAGTCCTAAGCAGCTATTTATACTAATAAAACTGAAAACTCTAATTGAACTAAGAAAATACTAAAAAACCAGAATGGCAAAAACGAGTTAGAGTTTGAGAACAACCCAATTTACGGAATCCTAATACGATTTTTCTAGCTGAAATTTGACTTGGTTCATGAGCTTTGCTCATGAGTTTTGTTCCTTGCGCCGTTTCACTTGAGATATAGTTTGTTTCGTACTCAAATACAATTTGAGTTCGTAGAAAATCCTTATTTTTCTATAATTTCTTTCGATATTTCCACCAATGTTCATTAATAACTCTTCTCGGAATTAAATAGTTATTTCGCAATTCAAATCCAATTTGACACTACAAAGGTGGACATGTAATAAAAATTCATTGTTGATGGGGTGATTGTAATATCCAAACATGATTTTTTTTTTCACAATTTAACATTATCTCAGGGGTTACCTAATTTACACAAAAAATATTACAATAGCCACCAACATTGTAATTAACACTCCATTGTCAAGCATCATTTGGACCAGGTGATTAGTATTAGGTTGTGTTGTACTAATTAATTTGATATAAAATCATGTAATTTGATATACATCATATAATATTATTGAATATGAAATGTTATATAAAAATGATATTTAATATCAATGGTCATTACAAATAAGCCCATCAATGAGTACTTATTCATAAAGAGATCAATAAACTCCTTTATAACTAAGTCCATACATGACCTAGATTTTCGTAAAAGACTAAAATAGCCCCCTCATACTTTAATATGCTCCAATTTCATCCTTAATTTAATTTAACCACAATTTGACCCCAAATTTCACAAATTATTCAATTTTGACCCAAAACACATTTTATGGACAAATTCGTCCGTCACCGCCGTTGACTTTTTTTTTTTTTTCTCTTCCGGATTTTTTCGCCGGTCTCCGGCGTTGACTTTTTCGATTTTTTTTTTCTTTCTTTCTGTAACATTTTTTTTCTCGTTTAAATAGCAATATTGTTGTGATTGACAGTAATAATAACTATATTACTATTAAACACAGTAAAATTAACTATACTACAGTTTAACACAGTAATATTGCTGTATTAATCTCTAGCACAGTAATATTAACACAACAAAACTCATTATTGTTGTGTAATAGAGTAATATTACTATGTTGACCTTCAACAAATGTAAACATAATAAAAAACCAAAAGAATTAATATTACTGTGAGTGACAGTAATATTACTATAACAACAGTAATATTACCGTCAACCACAGTAATATTACAATAGTAGACAACAATATTATTACGTTACTCCGTGAATAACTCAAACAAACAAAAAAATCCAAACAAAATAATAATATTGATGTAGTTGACAACAATATTACTATAACAACAGTAATATTACCGTCAACCACAGTAATATTATTGTGTTTACAGTAATATTACAATAATAGACAGTAATATTATTACGTTACTCCGTGAGTGACTCAAACAAAACAAAAAAACCAAAAAAATAGTAATATTGATGTTGTTGACAGTAATATTATTGTGTTTACATTATTGTGTTTACAGTTATTTTACTGCCAACGACAGTAATATAATTACGTTGACTTGTCAACAAATCAAACAAAATAAAAAATAATAATATTTCGTTAATTTATTGTCAACGGCAGAACAATTACATAAATGTATTGTCAACGGTAGTACGATTACGTTAATTAACAATCATTGACAGTATAATTACGTTAATTTATTGTCAGTGACAGCACAATTACGATCAATGTTTAGCGGCGCACGTAAAAGAAAAAAAAAAGTCAACGCCGGAAATCGGCGAAAAAATCCGGAAGAAAAAAAAAAGGAAAAAAATCGAAAAGTCAACGCTGGAGACCGGCGTTGACCGCCGGAAACTGGCAGCAAAAAAGATATTTGAAACAACAAAAGTTTTTGAAAAAAAAAAAGTCAAAATTGGATTTTTGTGGACAAAATTGATTAAAATAGGATTACAATTAAGAATTGGGTATAAAGGGTTGGGGGTAATATTGTCATATACATGAATGTTGCATTTATTTATAATACAGTTAAACCTCTACAAATTAATACAGTTGGCACCATCAAAATTTCATTAATTTAGCGAAATATTAACTTATCGATAAATTAATAATTATTAATTTATACATTAATTAATAATTTATTAATTTATTCATTAATTAATAATTTATTAATTTATGAAATTATTTTTATTATTATTTTCAATAAATACATATTTTTATAATTTTTTTACGTGTATATTATTCCTTGTACCATTAGTTCAATGCACTATAGAGCCCTCACGAACCGAAGTTGTTAAAGCAACAATGGTTTAGAACAATTTTCTGTTGAGCTATGAGAAAACTATATCAAAAGTTTTAACCATGTTAGGAAAAGCCAGAAACGAGATTGATGGTAATGTGAACTTCAACAAGAAACAAACGTCGATTAAATTATATTGCATTAAGCCTTCATAGATGTATAAAATATGTATTGTACCATGTAATTTAAGAATTATTTTTATGTATTATTAATTTATATATTATATGGGGCTTCTTAAAATTTTCGAATGTGTATTATTTTATAAATTTAGCGAATTATTAATTTAGCACGTTGTCCCCGAGTCGGGACCGGGAAAATTTATTATTTTAACGAGGTTATTAATTTATCGAGGTTCTACTGTAAATATTAAAGGGATGGGCTTATTGATGAAATAGATATAACTCTTAAACTTAGAATAATAAAGATGCTTGGTTAGGGACTTAGTAAAAAAACCCTAATATCAAATCTTTAACACTTGCTAACTTTATTAAGGAATTGAACTGGGCTTTTGGACATAGGCCCATAGGAATTTGGTTATGTCTAAATAAGTAAATACCTAGCTTCTGCTGATATTAAAGCATAATGTTTCCAACAAAAAAAAACAGAATTAATAGTTTGTAAATTGATTATAAATAAAAAAAAATTCCCAAATTAAATATTAATTTGGGAAAAATAATTAATTTATTGTATTTATTTTCACCACACAGTTAACAACTTATTAAAAACAAATATCTCAATCACAAATTAATTATAAAGAAACATATAATTCAGGCAAATACATTAGTGGAACACTTCCTGTGAACAATTTCATAACCAGATTCCTCGTACTCTCCCTTTGTAATCCAAATCTGCACATTGAAAAAAAAAAATTGAATCATAAATCATATTAATTAGTATGAACAACCTCAAAAATTGCAATAAAATTGCACAAACATTGAGTGATGCAAGAATTGACTATTGAGCCACCAATCCAAACATTGTACTTCCTCTCAGGTGGCGCAACAACCGTAATCCTCGTTCCTCCCGGAGCAAGACCCGTAATTTCCTTATCCAAACGGTCCGCAATACCGCTAAACATAGTGGACCCACCACTCAGCACAACGTTTTCGTAAAGATCCTTCCGTTTATCCACATCGCATTTCATGATCGATCCATAAACCGCCTCGTGAATTCCGGAAGCTTCCACCCCGATCAACGAAGGCTTGAACAGAACTTCCGCACAACGGAACCTCTCGGGACCTACCGTAATAACTTGTCCGTCAGGCAACTCGTAACTCTTCTCCACGAAAGATGGACTATTATAATTAGCAGTCTCCGATTCTTCCTCGAAATCCAATGCCACGTAAGCAATTTTCTCCTTTATGTCATCCACAATTTCCCGTTCCGCACTTGTGGTGAACATGTAACGTCTCTCATCAGCCAAAAGCTTTACGAGATAATTAGTGATATCACGACCAGCAAAATCCAACGGCACAATAGCTTCCGTAAGCGTCTGGCCCTCGTAAACCGGAACAACATTGGTCACTCCATCACCCAAATCGAGTACTACACCTATATTCACGAGTTTAATTAGATAAAATTAATTATAACATGCGATATACATATAGGGTAAATTACAACCACCCCTTGAGGTATGGTCATTTACGAAAAAACCCCTCTTGTTTGGATAATTACATCTACCCCATTCAACTATGATTTTTTCTTACACCTCCACCCTTATGGTGTCAAATTCAACATAATCATCTAGATTTCGTGGAATGTGCTCTAGTTTGTACTCGTTTTGTGTAAAAATACAGTTTCTGATGCACTACGATCTGATATATACAAGCCAAAAAACACATATTATGATCATCTTGCTTCAGAATGTCGAGTTTGAATGGGATAAAACGAGTACAAAAGTGATAATATTCTATATAATCTCAAAAATTCCACTAAATTTGATAATTGAGGGGTGGTTGTAATTAACCAAACATGAGGGGAGTTTTCGTAATTTAATCATATCTCACGGGTGGTTGTAATTTACCCTATAGATATATATATATATATATTACAATGATGCCATATATACACGCACACGCATACGTACCGGTTGTGCATCATCTCCAGCAAAGCCACCCTGTATAGTATGTACAGGACACGACCAAGCGATATTCGATGATTTTTTTTTTTCTTCAGAAAAAACAGAAAACGTACGGTCGATAATATATACACGTTGCAGAATATTCGATGAATATTTAGGAAGCACAATAAAAATTACCTTCATCATGTGAGTGCCATTATCAATAACAAGGGGTGATTGATTAATATCATCTTCTCCATCAGCCATTTTCTTTTATTATTTATGACTATAAAAATAAAATATCATTATTAGGAAATAAAATTGAAGCAATAAAGATTTTTAGATTAGATATATATTTTTTTAAGTCACCTTTGATTGGAGGCTTGGAGCCAATTATATGATCCTGTCTGTAATTAGCAGCAGATAATGTCAAAAGTTGTACGAGAGAGAGAGAGAGAGAGACAGATGGTTTATGAGAATCAGCAATGTCAACTAGAGCATTATAGTGTAAAGAAATGTATAATATGAAAAGTTTACATTGAACATATATATATATTAGTAAATTTTTATTATTTTAATCATTAATAATTTTGAAACCCCCATAAAAGAAAATAATAAAATAAAATAACAAACGAACTGGGCTTCTCTTCTCATAACGTCTTGGGCTTAGGCCCATAAAATGTTGAGAAATTATTTTGTCGACAAGAAAGAAGAGATGAAGAAGTCCCGCAGCCATTAGGCCCATAACCCGACACCAAAATAGGAGGATTCCGGGACCGATAAAAACGTACAAAATTATTAATTCGATAATTTAATATTTGACTAAATTAATATAATTTTGTTAGTTCTAATAGTATTAATTTATAGAGTTTGAGTGTATGTTGCAAAAAAATTATAATTAATTTACACTTCACAAATGTACTTTGAATTCTTGATACAACTTCACACAATTCTTTTTAGAGATTAAATTCTGAGCGGATCAACCGATATTTAATATAAATCGGATTCCACTAATTTTTTGACATGTGGCACTCTTAAGTCATAACTCTTAATATATCACGCATAATTAGGGTTAGACGGGTTACGGATTATGCTGGGGTTTTCTTTTTTCTTTTTTTGTTTCTTTTTTTCCAATTATTAGAATCTTAATTATATTTTTATTTAAACTATCCACGTGTCAATCATTCTATGGGCATCCGATTTTTCTATTAAAACAGGCCATCCGGTCTAAATTTGCACACTTCTTTTTAAATAAATCACCACTCAAATTCAACTCACAATCACAGCTGAAGAAATATCAGTCACTAAATTAATTGGTAATTAAGAAACATATAATTCAGGGAAACTTATTACATGGAACACTTCCTATGCACAATTGCACCACCAAATTCCTCATACTCTCCCTTTGAGACCCACATCTGCACATATTAAAAAAAAATAAAAAAATATTGTCCCAACTATATTACAACAACCACAACAAAACAACACACACACACACACACACACATATATATATATATATATATAAAGCAAAAAAAAGTGCACAAACCTGCTGGAAAGTAGTGAGGGATGCAAGAATTGATCCTCCGATCCAAACATTGCACTTTCTCTCAGGTGGTGCAACAACCTTAATCTTCACGCTGCTCCGATAAAGCGCCTCTATTTCCTTGCACAAACGATCCGCAATACCGGGAAACATAGTGGATCCACCACTTAGCACAACGTTACCACAAAGACCCTTCCTTACATCCACATTGCACTTCACGATCGACTTATAAATCGCCTCGTGAATTCCAGAACCTTCAATTCCGATCAGCCAAGGTTGGAACAAAACTTCAGCGCAACGGAACCTCTCGGAACCCACCGTAATAAGTTGTCCATCTGGCAGCTCGTATATCTTCTCTATCTGATCAGAGCTATTCTTAGCATTCTCCAATTCCTGGTGAAATCCAGTGCCACGTAAGCAAGTTTCTCCTTTATGTCACGCACAATTTCTCGTTCCCCACTCGTCATAAACATGTAACCTCTCTCGTCAGCCAAAATTTTCATTAGATAATCAGTGATGTCACCACCAGCAAAATAGAGAGGCTGCAGAATGCCTTCCTTAATTGCATATCCCTCGTAAACGGGAACAACATTGGTCACACCATCACCACAATCGATCACTAAACCTATATATACTCAGTATAATTAAATAATTAGGTTGCAACATGATATATTTTACAATGAGACTATATATAGACACACACACACACACACGCACATACGTACCCTTTGTACGACCAGTAGCATAGAGTGAAAGGACAGCCTGGATAGCAACATACATAGCTGGCACATTGAAGGTCTCGAACATGATTTCAGTCATTTTCTCTCTCTTCAACAAAGGGTTGTTAGGTATTTCAGTGAGAAGAACAGGGCGCTCTGCAGGATCGACACGAAGCTCGTTGTAGAACATGTTATGCCAAATTTTCTCCATGTCATGCCAATTATTAACGACACCGCGTTCGATTGGATGTTTCAGTTTAAGAATATCACATTTAGATTGAGCTTCGTCTCCGACGTAAAAATCTTCTCGCCCCGTCAAAATTGGATGACGGGGATATCCGATTACGGTAGGGATGACTACCCTTGGTGCATCATCACCTGCAAAACCAGCCTATAGACACACACACACACACACATACACACACACACACACACACACACACACACACACATTAGTGCATCTAGTACAGTTTTGGATGATTTAGGAATTAGGAAACAAGATAAATAGTCAACGCTGACCTTGATCGTGTGAGAGCCATTATCGATAACAAGGGGTTTAATATCCTCATCTCCATCAGCCATCTCGTACTATGATCTATAATACTGAAATATACTAATTAAGAATTTCATAAAACAAAAAATTTGTTCGGAGAGAGAGAGAGAGAGAGAGAGAGAGAGAGAGAGAGAGAGAGGGAGAGAGAGAGAGGGAGAGAGAGAGAGAGAGAGAGAGAGAGAGAGAGAGAGAGAGAGAGAGAGAGAGAGAGAGAGAGAGAGAGAGAGAGAGAGATGTAAATGAGAATCAAACATGCTATACCACTTATAAACCTTTTGCTAAAAACAACTACACCAAAAAAAATGTCAACGACTAGCATTGTGTAAAGAAATGTCAAATATGTTGAATATGAAATTTTCACTTTGAATCAGCAACAATAATAATATTCGATATTACTACTATATAATCGTTTAAGCCCCGTTTGGTTGTCAAGATAAGATTAAATAATCTAATGAAACCCAACTATTTTATTGGAGCTTGAAATGTCCAAAAAAAAAAAACTCATTAGAAGCCAAGATAAACCATGATTATATAATTTTGGACCCGATAATTTATTGAAAATACCAAACATCAAATTAAGTCCAACTATTTAGTTAATCATGGCTTATCTTGGCAACCAAACGGGGCCTAAGTATTTTGTAGTCATAACTCATAGAACTGTAGTATACGCATCAAGTACCTATAAACTTTGTCAATTATTAAATATCCCCTAAACTATGCCAATTGTATCATTTTACTCCCTTAATATAAAATAAAAATAAATAACAAATGGACTGGGCTTCTCTTCTTATACCCTTTTTGACATAGGCCCATAAGATGTTGAGAAATTATTTTGTGTATAAGAAAGAAGAGAATAAGTTCCTCCAAGAAGGATCTTTATGCAATGTGGATATAAGGAGGGATCTTTATGCAATGTGTAAATAAGTCGCGTCTGCTGATAACAATGTTTCAACAAAAAAATAAACAACGAATATGCTGTAAATACATAAAATTAAGGGTAAATGACAAATAGGCCCATGAGAAAGACACTTAATTAAAAGAGGGACATCCAACTTTTTTGTCTTTCAAATAAATCCAACTCATTCAAACTTATTTGAAAATAAGGAAAATCCCTTTATATATACCAAAATTACCCCCAATTCATTGAAACCCAATTCAACTCTAATTTCATGATTTACACCACAATTTAGCCCAATTTAATCAATTAACCAATTTTAACCCTAATTCCAATTTTGACCCGCCACCACCGGAAACCGCCGGTCTCCGGTGTTGACTTTTTTTTTTTTTTTTTTTTGGAAAACTTTTTTTCCCCAGAAATTTTTTTCCGGCCGGTCAACTATCGTTGACCGCGGTCTCCAGCGTTGATTTTTTTTTTATATAATTTTATTTTTTCTTAAAAAAATATTTTAATTAATATTACTGTCATGGCTGCTAAATTACTGTCTCCGGCAGTTATTTAACTGTCGGAGACAGTAATTTAACAGTAATTGATTTTTTTTTTTGTTTCAAAAATATTTTAATTAATATTATTGTCTATGCTACTAAATTACTGTCTCTAGCAGTTATTTAACTGTCAAAGACAGTAATTTAATTGTTAATTGATTTTTTTAAAAAATATTTTAATTAATAATACCGTATTCGTTGCTAAATTACCGTCTCCAGCAGTTATTTTTTTATTCTTAAAAAATATTTTTAATTAATATTATTGTATTCGTTGCTAAATTACTGTCTCCAGCAGTTATTGAACTGTCGGAGACAGTAATTTAACTGTTAATTGACTTTTTTTTTTTTAACTTTTTTTTTTCTTAAAAAAAATTATTTTAATTAATATTACTGCATTGGCTGCTAAATTAATGTCTCCAACAGTAATTTAAATGTGTTAGACAATAACATTACTGTTCGGGAAAATAATATTCATAATATTACTGTCCCAAACCGTAATATTACTGTCTGAGACAGTAATTTAGTAGTCAAGATAGTAATATTAATTAAAATATTTATTTCTAAGAAAACAAAAAATTCAAAAAATAAAAAGTCAACGCCGGAGACCGGCGGTCAACGGTGGTTGACCGGCCGGAAAAAAATTTCAAGAAAAAAAAAAAGTTTTCAAAAAAAAAAAAAAAAAAAGTCAATGCCGGAGACCGCCGGTCTCCGGCGGTCAACGCCGGAATCTGGCCGGAAAAAAAACATTTCAGAAAAAAAATTATTTTCTGAAAAAAAAAATTGGGGGTTAATGTAATATATTTGTTTAAATCTGGGGTCAATGAGTAATATTAAGGAAGTTAGAGCATAATGGGTGGAATTGATAAGAATTATATTATGGAGGGTATTTCAGACTAAAGACATGTGAATGAGTTTAATTGAGAAACTGTTTTTTTTTTATGGACCAAAATGCATTTAAATCCCATGTGATGAACTTTTTTGTCATTTGCCCTAAAATTAATTTACA